AAAAGTATTACAACCCTAATGACTTAGTGCTTAAACTCGTCGGTACGCATGCTGATTGGCCGGGATGGCATTTATGACGAAAAAAAACCCATTTGATTTTTAATTTTTTTTTCGTCTGAATGCCATCCCGGCCAATCAGATCTCTCGAAATACTTTCTCTTTCAAAAATTTTCTGAAAACATCATAAAGCACTTTTCCTGAAAAAAAAGTTCTTGCCTTGACTGCTCATTAGCTTGTGGCCCACCAAAAAGGTCCGAAACCAATGCGCACTTTTTCTATACAAAGTACTTTTTATTCAAAAAGCCATTTTATAAAATGGTTTTTTGTGAATGACTCACACAATTTGGGCAACCACTCCCCATTTGAAAATTTCCTCCTTTGGTCATCACTGCGAATGGGGCAAGTATACTTGATTAGCTCCAAAAGTTAAGCTTACATAGACTTCCTCCTCGAGTGTGATGAGACCTGGCAATGACGCTCCCGTGTCGAGGCCTTGATCATGTTACTTGCCGCGCCGCGTATTATTCCAAGTTATAGCCCAGTCATTTGGACATTCACATGCTCTTAGTTGCGTTCTTGATGATGCTGGTCGCTTGGGCCTTCTTTATTGTCTTTCTCTTGGAGATAGACACGAGATATGAACTCAGGGTCACATTCTCTATTCGCCCTTCTTACCAGTACTCGCAGACATTCCTGTGCCGTTAAGGCTGGTGTGGGTAACACAGATTCTGTAGTGCACAATGTCTGTCGGTACAGTACTACATGTAATATCCGACCCGGTGATTGTCTTTTGAAGCGTGGGACACGTAGATGAGGAATCGATCGCTCCGATTCTCACTTGCCATCCATGCAAGTTGCGGAGGGCGGCAAACTTTTTGGTCTTTGCCGCAAAGACCCTGCACCTGCTTCCCGGCGGTCTATCTGCTGCTGGACAGCAATACGCTGACGCTGGCGCAGCGGCGATGTGTGGATTTCTCGCACGCATTAACTTAAAGCATTCAATTTAGTAGGGCTGCCCTCTTGCTTTGCCTACCTTCTGTCCGCCAGGTCGTGTTTTCACCACACCCACTGCATCCGCCAAAATTAGCGGCACTCAAATGTTTTTTATAGGAGACCGTGGTGGCGACGTCTGCTCTATGCTGGTCACAGAGCCCAGCGTGGATTGAATCCTGCCTGCAGCAATGGTGGTTGGCGGTAGTGGCGGCCTGGTGCTCACTCAAGCTCAGCGAACTCTCGTCGAGAAGAGCCGTGCCGTGAAGCACCAACGCGCGAAGGCACTCGAAGCCCAGCATGAGCGCGACGCCAGGGCTCG